ACAGTTCTTAAACTCTTTCCTCCTGTCTTCATTCTCAGCTGCATGGAAGAGCCCTTATGCATTGGGAACTGGAATGAGATTTCCAAATCCTTTTGCTTCTCTCCTTCGATACAAATTAGAAGCAGACGCAAGCTGCCTTGATAAGGTTTCCTCCCTTGCCAGTATAATTTCTTATTATTCTACTTTAAGAACATAAGATCTCCCAAAGGGCCACCTGTCCCTGTCACAGAGTAGGACGTTAGCCATGAAGGAATGCCTAGGGACCAGGACTGATCCCTTCCTTGACTCTGGTTGTCAGCAGCTGAGGGACTCTGTGAGCTGGCTGTGTCATCCAGCCTCTAGAGACACTAATAAGCTTTCCTCACCTCACCTAATTATCAGTTAAGTGTCCCCATTTCTGTAGCATGGGGCTCACAGATGAATTAAATACTCCGAAGTTTTTCTCTAGGTTTCAACCAGCTGCCTCATGATTTCACTGGATGCTTGTTCTGCCTTGGACTGTGAAAAAAACATCATCTTTTTTCTGTGCCACTGGAAATTTTATAGACCTCAAACGTGCCCACTCCCACCAGCCCTCTCTCTGCTACACTGAAGAGTTTCAGTCTCTGCCTGAGGGACTGGCAGCTCCCTCAGTGCCTCCTAATGGAAAAAATTGCCTTGGACAGATTCAACTATACAGGACACTTGTGTCAAAGTCTGGCTCTTGGCCACCATGGAAGTCCCCGTCCAGGCTGTGAGAGCATCACTGTTGGATGCTGTTGAAAGTGAAGGCACTAGGCTGGAGAAAGTGACCTCATTTTATGGTTTTACTAATGGCTTTGGCAAAAATAGAAGGAAAGTTTGAGGGAAATGTGCTGTTGACACACTGAATTGGGCTATTCTGCTCTGCAGAGGAGAACTGGGATATCACAGAGAAACAAATGGACCTGGAGAAAATTTGACTTCAGGGAGTAGAAGAAGAGTGATGGGGTGGAATTTAAAAATATGAAGTCCAAGGTCATGTGCTTAGAAAGTAGTAAAATTTCTTCTTCATACTGGATGCTTCCAGGATGGGAATATCTCTGGGTAAAGGTTGAACACTGCTCATGATTCCTGGCAGTGGGACAGGGCCAAAGGGAAGGCAAACATGACACTAAACTGAAAGGCAAGAGGCAGGTCTAATAGGAAAAAACCAAAACAAAACACATTCTTTTAAGAATCATCAGTGAATCCCTGAACTATTATGTAGCTCCCAGCTCCTCCCCAGTGAGGAGAGCACACAGAGAGTAAATACTGTCATGCCTACTCAAACAGAAAAAGTCTATCCTACAAAGAAAGACTGGAAGGACTTGGCTTTTTAGCTTAGTATCAGGATGACTCAGAATGATACAAATACCATGTATAAATAGATTAGGAGGATAAATAACACAAAGGAAAAAGAACTACTGGCTCTAGGCCAATGTTGGCATAAGAGCAAGTGGCAATAAACTAGTCCCAAATACATTCAGGAAGAAAAGGTGTTTTCTAGCCAAAAGAAGAGCAAAAATGGGAGCATCTTTTCAGTTAGATGGGACAGACCATCCGGCAGATTTGACAAATTCATGATTCTAAGATGTGGTGTCTCAAAATCAGGGGACAAGACTTGCAGGACCAAAAAGTGCCTTTTACTCTTGCTTGCATTCCCTTGGTCTTTTTTTCACTGCCCTCTACTTAAGGAATGACAAGTTGTGGCAAATGGTATTAATGCACAGATCCAACAGTTCAAGAACTAGGAGCTACAATATCCCTTCTCAATCAGAGCTACTATGCCCCTCTCCTCCCTTGACTAAGTACAAAGTAAATGTAAATCAAATTTATTATTGTAAAACATAGCTTCTGCTTCCTGAATGATCTTTTATTAAAACATCTGCTATCTACCATGAAAAATGCATAACACAACATTTCTATTTCATTGCAAAATACTGAAAATATTTTTTTTTTCAACTTATGAGACTCTGGTGCTGCTAAGAGTAACTTACCTCCAAACAAAGACAGTTAGCAGTAAACAAACATATAATTTGTATTTAAACATGCTATACTGTACATTCCTAGGCAATAATTTATTCTTTCTCACAGTATTATATCACAGCAATTTCTTTTAAAAGCCATACCTACTGATTCCCTCTTCTGACACTGTGTAATTTACCACCAATAAATGTTCATAAACAGTTGGACTGAAAAATCCATAAAGCCATTTCAGCTTTATTTTAAGTTCCATTTAATGTCCCTCAAAAATGATTCCAATGTGTTTCCATTAGCTGGTTCTCTGCCCAATAACTTAATTCCACACAATCAGTCAGGAACTTATAAAGCATATGACAGGATCTACCTAAAGTGTTTTGAATCACCATAAGGATTCACTCAAAGAGTGTTTGGGTTTTTTTCTCCCCCTTCTGGTGCAAAAAGGTGTGGGGGCACAAATATCAAAGA